CCTCCTGCCCAGGCATTAGTGATCTGTGTATTATCCTAGTGGATGTGTCACTTGGTACTGTTGTTTCTGTCTCCTTGTCCCACACTGTGAGCTTCCCAAATGTAGAGACTTTATCTGAGTCATCTGTTTCCTGAAGAAATGTCGTTTTCTGTAGTAGGAATCTTTGAAAGGCTAGATACATTGATCACATGACTTAATATTTAGTAGACATTTAGAATATGACTTGCTGGTTGATTTTTGAGCTTAGTGGCCTATTCAGTAAATTGAAACAGATCTCTGCTTTCCCGCTCTCTGTTGCTGATCTTTTCTTCTTGATTTGGGTGGTTGCTTTATTTTAGAGGGCGAGGAGTATTCCTGTACACTGCCACCACTCACTGCTTCCTGATGGCTCTGCACTCTTCTACTCCCTTTATTTAGCTTTTCCCCACAGAATTCACCATCCACTCCGCCAACTTCCCTTAAAACAAAACCATACCGACCCAACTAAGGTTTCCAAAGCCCCTGCCAGGCATTCTGTGCAAGAAACATAGGCAATAGGCAGAGTAGAATAAAGCATATTTTCCTGATACCAACAGTCTGAAGACTTGGGCCCTGGTCCTACTCAACTGCTAATTTCTTGGGTGATCTTGAGCATTTTACTTACACAGTTGCTTACTGTAATAAAACATTTAAGTACATAACATACATATTATCTAAATGTCCTAATTTTCAAATAGTCTGTTTTGTCTTGCATGTAAATGAGCTGTTATTAAAGCTCATATAAGTAATCTAGGGAACATCTATTTAAAGACATACTACTTGTGTTTAAGAGCCATGACCATTTGAAAACAGGAAAACCAAATTTTAGTAAAATTTCAACATATTGGACCCACTAATTCTCTGTGTGAGACAGTTAGGAAGTTTGCTGTTTACCTTTGCACTATTATGAGGGGAAAAGATTTTAACAAATTACTGCTAATGAGATCATACAGTAAAAGTTGTAACTCAATTTAGAGAATTCTTAAAAATTTATCTACATGTGCCTTGGTTACCTATTAATCCATTAATTAGTTCCCTAAAAACATTGTTTGTCCAGTATCTTAATTGTAGATACTAAAGATGCATTTTTAAAGAGAAAATGATTATTCAGTTTTGCCATTTAGACCTTTTCTAAGTCTCCCCCTGTAACACTCACTCATGCAGTCCCAGTTATTATTTTATTGATTGGGGTGATGGTTTCTGTGACTGGAAAGTTCAGTAGACTGAGATAAAAGTAGCTTTTCTGATAGGACTTACAGACTCCAGAGGTATATCGTAAGCAGTGTGTTTAAGGTTTTCAGCGATTTTGGTGCTTACTCACCAGAACTACTTCTCCCCACTTTAGTCTGCTCTGTCAAAAAACTGCATCAAGCTTTTGTGTGAAGATCCTGTTTTTGCAGAATATATTAAATGTATCCTAATGGATGAAAGAACTTTCCTAAACAACAACATTGTCTACACATTCATGACTCATTTTCTTCTAAAGGTATGTTGTTCTTTGAAAACTCAGTATATTACCTCCAGTTAGTTAATGGTTGTGTTTTCATTGTGTTAGTCTTGTGGAGATTTTTTTTCTTTATCTCTTTTTTTCAGGTTCAGGGTCAAGTGTTTTCTGAAGCAAACTGTGCCAATTTGATCAGCACCCTTATTACAAACTTGATAAATCAGTATCAGAACCTGCAATCTGATTTTACCAATCGAATTGAAATGTCCAAAGCAAGTGCTTCATTAAACGGGGTAAGAACTATGGAAGGGAGTAGTCATATACTTCAGACTTCCCTTGAACTAACTCTAAATTGGGTTTAGTATGATTTTATTTCATAGTTTTAACTTACTGTTCAAACTGTAAAAGTCAAATATGATGAAGAAACTAATCAGATTTTTTTAAATGTACTCACATTATACTGTTTTCTCTTCAGATCGTATAAATCTTTCACCATTGAAAAATTTGCTCACTATGCCTTTTGTGTATATAGCACACACTTTCTATTGAGTTAGAAGCCATGAGCTAATGTCATTAATGGCAGTAGGACCATTAAAAGACATTTCCTTTATCTCTATTTGTTTACCTTTTTCAAAACAATTACTTGTGATGTTATTGCCTATAGTTCATGAATAACTAAACAATCAGATTAATGATCTATCATAAAGCCAGTTAAAACTGGGGAATTAGTAAGTTGCCCTGTATGGACCCCTAGGATAGCCATACCATAGAGCAGTGGGACCTGGAGATGTGTGCTGGCATGTGTGCAGCAGCAGCCTTACGGTACAACGAGGCTCAGGTGCCAGCACAGATTACAGAGAGGAGTGGGGAAGGCCTCTTTTCCCCAGCTACCCAAAATTAGCATATTTAAGAAACTGATTTCTAGATTAATAAGGCCTAAATTTCTTATGTGTTATTAAGGGTTTGTTTTCTAAGTTCCTACATGAATTCTATTGATTCTCCCCACTCTCATTCCCATTTTCAGAAAACACTATTTGAGTCTTCAGTCTGACTTATTTTAATGGTGTGGTACATAAAATAATGGTATTAGTGACTTAGAACCAGTTAAGATACAGTATAACATTGGCTTTCTAGTCTCAGCATTCTTGTAAAAAGCCAGAGAAACCCTGGCCAGGTAGCTTAGTTGGTTAGTGCTGTCCCCATACACCAGGTTTGTGGGTTCAATACCCAGTCAGAGCACATATAAGCAAACAATGAATGCATAAATAAGTGAAACAAGTTGATGTTTTTCTCTCTCAAAACACACAAATCATTAAGGCCTGGCTGGGTGGTTTAGTTGGTTGGAGTGTTGTCCTGTACACCAAAAGGTTGCTGGTTTGATACTAGTCAGGGCACATACTTAGGTTACAGGTTCTATCCCCAGTTGGGCACGCACAGGAGGCAATTAATCAATGTTTCTCTCTCCCTCCCACCCCACCTCCTGTTTCTCTCTAAAATCAATAAACATATCCCCAAGTGAGGACTTAAATATGTGCATTGAACTGTAAACAAAGTGTGTCAGATGTGGCTACAGAATTTGAAATGTTCACATGTGGGTTTTTGCAGGACCTAAGGGCACTTGCTTTGCTCTTGTCGGTACATACTCCCAAACAATTAAACCCAGCTCTCATTCCAACTCTGCAAGAGCTTTTGAGTAAATGCAGGACTTGTCTGCAGCAGAGAAATTCACTCCAAGAGCAAGAAGCCAAAGAAAGAAAAACTAAAGGTTAGCTTTATGGGCCCCTATTACCTTCAGGGTGGGAGAAGGGAATGCATTTGGTATAACTGTACAGTAGGCTTTGTGTTCACTTGGGCCTCTGAAATATAATAAATGCTAAAGGAGAAATTTTCCATAAAAACTATCCCTCAGTGTGAGCTTAGTGACTCCTTTCACAGAAGTGTTTGATGTCTTCACAGACGATGAAGGGGCGACTCCTGTGAAAAGAAGGCGAGTAAGCAGTGACGAGGAGCACACTGTAGACAGCTGCATCAGCGACATGAAGACAGAAACCAGGGAGGTCCTCACCCCGACTAGCACTTCAGACAATGAGACGAGAGACTCCTCAATTATTGATCCAGGAACTGAGCAAGATCTTCCTTCCCCTGAAAATAGTTCTGTTAAAGAATACCGAATGGAAGTTCCATCTTCGTTTTCAGAAGACATGTCAAATATCAGGTCACAGCATGCAGAAGAACAGTCCAGCAGCAGTAGATTTGAAGATTGTAAAGAATTTAAAGACCTCCACTGTTCCAAGGATTCTAACTTAGCTGAGGAAGAATCCGAGTTCCCTTCTACTTCTATCTCTGCCGTTCTGTCTGATTTAGCTGACTTGAGAAGCTGTGATGGTCAAGCTTTGCCCTCCCAGGACCCTGAGGCTGCTGTATCCCTCAGTTGTGGCCATTCCAGAGGACTCTTCAGTCACATGCAGCAGCATGACATTTTAGATACGCTGTGTAGAACCATCGAGTCCACGATCCACGTGGTCACAAGGATATCTGGCAAAGGAAACCAGGCTGCTTCTTGACATGAGGTGTCGCATGTCTACTTTTAAGGCTGACCCCGCCCCCCAATGCTGTTTGTATAAGTTTTGCTTATTTCTGTTTTTGTGCTTCAGTTTGTCCAGTGCTCTCTGCTTGAATGGCAAGATAGATTTATAGGCTTAATTCTTGGTCAGGCAGAACTCCAGATGAAAAAAATTTGCATCTTCAGTATACTTTCTAAAGGGCAATCAGATAATGGATATGTTTTATGTAATTAAGAGTTCACTGTAGTGGCTTTCCTTTACTATGGCTGTCTGGGAGGAACAGGGTACCCTGGCCCTGTACAATGTAATTTAAACTTACAGCATTTTTACTGTGTATAATATGGTGTCCTCTGTGCCAGTTTTGTACCTTATAATAGAGGCAGATTGCCTCCAATCGCTGTGGTTCTTATTATCAAAATTAAGTTTACTTGTATACGGAACAACCACAAGAAATTTGATTCTGTAAAGAATCCTCTTTAGCTGTGGCCTGGCAGTATATAAATGGTGCTTTATTTAACAGAATACCTGTGGAGGAAATAAAGCACACTTGATGTAAAAATAATTGTTTTATTTTTATTGACATGACTGATTGCTATTCTGTGCACTTAATTAAACTGATTGTGATGACTTTTCATTTGTTTACATATGTTGCTTCAGTCTTCACAGATGAAAGTAATGAGAAAACTGTGAATGGGGGAAGCACTTACCCATTATAGTCTATTTCATTAGAAGTGTTAGTAGCAGTCCAACGCATAACTTACCCCCATAAGACTTTTCAGTCCTCTCCACCATGAAATACTTAACTGCTGCAGGGAGAAGTGTTAACAATACAACCAACTTGTCATCATTTCAACATGCTTCTGAGTGCAACATGCCACTGTTTCACTACCTAAGAGCTACCCACCTTACAAACAAACCCTGAAGTAAATAAAGGAATGATATCAACATGCCACTCATTTTTTTGTCTTGCTGAAAGTAAGCTTGCTGCAAGGATAAGCTTTAGGTTGGGAAACTTCAACTATCTGTACTCAGGGACTCAGTCTTGTCTCAGAGGACTATCTATCAGAGGTAAGGTTAAATACTTAATTTTAGGTCGCTTGCTGCTTCTAACTCAATGCAGAGTCTAATCATAGGAAAGATTCAAACAGTGCTTTAAATTCTGTAAAAGTTCATGGATTTCACCCACTATAAATTAAGGAGTGTTGTTTTCTTTTAAAAAAGATAATAGGGAAGAAGTAATGACACTTTTTCTGCTTACAAAAAGTAATGCCCCTATAAAATCTTGTAATTCAACCATTTAGAGTGGTCAGCTGCAGTAAACCTTTTATTTCTTCAAAATGCTGTTTCTGCCAGCAGAATTTCATATTCTCTTCTTTACAGACAGGAACTCCTCTACAGTCCAATTGTAATTCTGTTTGCCCTAGAGCAGGCACAAAATTCAGTACAACTGTTGCATAGTGTTCTGGAAGAAAAATAGGAAATACTATGAAGAGGAAAACTTTTATGTACTACTACCTGCTTCTCCCAGGGAGGAGGAAAACAGCTCATTTATGGACTCTTAAAACAAGCAGTACTGATAACATACCTTCTGGCCAGTTCCTGCATCTCCATTTCATGACGATCTTTTCATTTGTTAACTGGAAACAAAGAGGAAATTCCATTGAAAACATCTTAAAATTTCCTCAGTACTACACAGAAAAACACTCAAGCCTTTCATCAAAACCACTATGTACCAAAACTAATCAATAAACAATATACAGTTCCATCTTCTAGTTTATATGTCTGCACCATTGTAGAATTCATTGTCCCTGGTGCCAAAATGTCCACAACAGCAGTTAATATCAAGGACAGAAGTGTACTAACATGGGTAACAAAAACAGAACCAATGTCAATGGTGAGTCAACTGACGTCTGGCAATGCAGACCCCAGTGATTTAGGTGGCAGAAAGCTGAATGTTGTACACAAAGATTTGGGAGAATCTTACTGTTCTAAAATCATAAGCATTTGTCCAAATACTGTGAAACTAAGGCTTCAACTTTCTGATTATATGTAACATTTTTATTTGCTCTATAACCAACTATATAAAGTTCTCAAGTTTTTGTGAGCTCAAAATAAAAACTCAAAGCAAGTTGAAATAGCATTAATTTAAAAAGCAATATAAACCGAAACAGGAGTCGGTCCCCAGCTTACTTTCTTTAACCATAAGATTACTTACCAGTTCTATATATTCACCGGTGATGTTCCCATCAAACATTTGGAATTTCCCTCCCTTTTCAGCTTCTAATATGGCAGGAGATTTAGAAAATTTTTGTACCAACTAACCAAGAAAAACAGACATATCATTTCAGCATATAACAATTACTATGAGTTTTTTTAAGTCCTGAATACGTAGTTTGTAATTAGTTTAGCTTTCTCTTCTTTCTCTCTCTTGCAGAGGGAGAAAATGAATGTATCCCGTAATTGTTGATGTATTCCTCCCAAAATGTCCATCCTTCCCCTCCATCAAATATTTCAGAAGCTACCCTGAAGACTTCTATCCCCACACTTCTAGATTCCTTTAAGCAGAAAAATAGGAACGTAAGAGAAACAAAAAGACCAGCTCCAGTTCTTAGTGGTACATGTCCTCCAGTGTCAGCGTTTAAGATCCTAGCTTGAGAAGTTACTTACATCTTTGACAGTGAAGATGCTGTACAGCTGCTCTACGGCTGCGTCGAACAGTTCCTTCATGTGCAGTGCTACAGTGGGAATCCTCACACCAAGGGGCACCTGAGTCTTGAGAAAGCAGTTCCAAGGAATAATTAGCATGCCAAGAGGTAAAGCTGCTTAAATTTAAAAATCCCCAAATTCCACACTACCCATTCCAGAAATGTGGAAATAGCACGAAAGGTCTCTTAGCACCACCAGTCCTGGCCTTCACTTTGGAAACAGTGCTTATTATTCCTATGAGCTCTTAAACTCCGTTCTACTCCAAAGCTATGACTTAACACCCAAATCCTGTTTGGACCATATAAATGTGGACCAGAAAGCATGCAGATAAGCAGATGCAGGACAACAGCACGTTTGTTAGGACCAAGAGTGTCAATTTACAGTACCAGATTCCAAGAACAGGATCTAAAACCTCCCAATCCAAAAGTTTGGAGAGATTGGTCCACGGTGGTATGTGAGCTTCGCCTACCAAAGAACTGTGCCTTTACAAGTCTTCAATGAAATTCAGTATTTATCCCCCCAAAGGCATTTATACATTCCCTTCCATTAAAGATGCAAGTCTTATCACTCCCCCCCCCCAAAAGGCAGAGGATGTAAGGGTGGATTAACTGGCCTTCCTTGATATTCTTTCAGCTCGCCATCAAAAGGCCGTTGAGAGCTTTAGAGAATTCACACTAAGCCCCTTCTCTACATATTGACCACCAGAGATCATACCTGCAAGGTATTCTCACTCAGTTTCCTTTTAATAGTTGGTTCCTGCGCTGCTGTGGCTTTTGTTGGTAAAATCATTCCCATTGTAAATTCTACAAAGAAAAATGAGAGGTGGTTAGTTTTAATAAAGAACTTTTCCCTTTCTAGCACAAATAGGCAGAAAACCCAAAACAGCATATAGGAAAATAAAAGAACTGGTATTCACGAGAATTCATAAGTCATTTTGAAGATTTCAAGACCATTTCATTTTTATATATGTATAAAACTAACAAGTTATTTTAAAATGCCTTTTATTTCACTTTTCAAATGCCTCACTTTTATCTATTTTTGTTGATAAATTAACAAAAATTTCAAATGTTGTTCTCCAAAAATCTCAGTAAACTAACAGCTTTATGGCCTTTGTGTACTGTCAGAAGCATCCTTCACGTCCACTTCCTGTACTATACAGACACTTTCTCATTGCTTCACCACCACCTCGCAAATACGGCCGCATGGTGTTCCTGCCTGCGGGCCAGCCACATGTGTGGTCTCCAGGGAAAAGTGGCAACCTCAAATCCATCTATGCCAACACCTAGACACACAGCAGAATCCAAGGATTGTGGGCAGACGTACAGGCCCTAGTGGCCATTTTGCTTGGCAAGTAACTTGTCTAATTTAGGTAAGAAAACAATAAGTAATCTCACTTCCACACAGTGTAGGGGTTATCTAGGTAAACCTCAACTACACCTGTATTACCTACAGTCACTTTCATTCATTCAACAAAGATTTATTAAGCACCTACTACGTGCCAGGCATTGTGCTAGATGCTGGAGATACAGCAATGAATAAGACACACCTTCCATGCCTCAGGGAACTTATGGACTAGCAGGGAGGACAGATATTAAACAAGCAATTATACAAGTCCATAAAACTATGAACAATTCTGTAGGCAAAATAGTTCACACTGCAATACTGATAATAACTAAATATGTCCTTACTCATGAGTAGCTCTCACCATCCACACTATAGTTTATCCTGCAGCATAAACAGTTTCTGGAGCCTGAGATACCAGATTAACCTGCGAATCCAGACCATAGTGCAGAGCATAACTTGGGTAAATAGAAAAGGGACCCCTGGGGTCACCAGGGATGCCTTCTTTACCCGTCTTTAGTGCCTTCAGGTAATCTCCAAGGGCCTCCCTGACCTTGGCGGTGCCTGCGGTTTTCATAAGATCCTTCAGTATATCCCCGTCTCCTTTCTTTTTACTCACGTTCACCTGCAAATCAGAAAAATACAAACCTAAGAAAAACCTGGTTTGATGTATTCTTCCAACATTGGAACATGTGGTGACTGTGAGGGAAGGGGAAGAAGTGGCTACACCAAAGCTGTGACAGGATCCTTCCTATAGTTTGAGAAGGTGTAAAGGTTTCTAAATCAAGGCTCCATTGACTGGGTTGGCCAAATCTTGAATGGACTTCTAAGAATGTGAGCCCCTTAATTTGCATTCAAAATTTTATATGTATATGTATTATATTGATGATGTGGTCCATGGCTTTTATCAGGGTCTAGAAATGCGCTGTCCAGTGTGGTAGCCACTAGCCCCACGTGGCTACTGAGCACCTGAAATGTGGCTGTTCTGATTTGAGATGTGCTAGAAGTATAAAGAACACCAAACTTGAAAGACTTAGTACAAAACAAAAAATGTAAAGTCATCTAATAATTTTGATATTAATTACATGTTAAAATGGTATTTTTTATATATTGGGTTAAATAAAAACATTAAAATTTATTTCACCTGTTTCTTCTAACTTTTTTTAAAAAATATGGCTGCTAGAAAATCCTAAATTCTATATTTGGCTTGCATTATATTTCTGTTGAACAGCGCTGGTCTAGAACCCCAAAGCCAGTGTAATTAGGAAACACAAGTTCCCACATAACATGGCCTTGAGCTACACATTTTTGGCAGGGAGGAAGGAGAGTTGGGAAAGGGAGAGGAAAAGGAGAAGAGGAGGTAAGAAAAGGGAGGAGAGGGGAGGGAAATGGGAGACAGGGAGAGGGGAACTTCAAAATGCTCTGGGGACACCTCTGTGGTACTTAGAATGAAAAGTGGAGTTGGTTAGAAATCGTTTAGTGTCCTGTGATTCAGTTGAGCCGGGCTTGTTCCAGGTACCATCTAAAGAACCTGTCCTGTGACACCACCAAGGATTGAAACTCAAAGACCAGTTTCAGGTGATGATGAACACTCCTTGGCTGGTGGACTGGATTACGGCAAAGTGAAATCACTGCCCGAGTACGGCACCCACACTGCTGAAGGCATGTCTGAGACAGCCCTGCTTTCTGCACTGTGTAACTACATAGACGTGTTGCTCAGTGTGACTTAGTTTTTATATCTTTGAAAGCCTTCACATTGAATAATTTCACTAATCAAAAAAGACCTTTTGTCAGAACTATTTGGTTTAGAAAATATAGCTACTGTATAAACTGTTCCTCCCCAGAACCAAACTCAGTTTCCAGAAGTCACTAACTGAAAACCACAGTTAGGAGTTACTCACGCTCTATCTCCCAAGAACTATGACACCTAGCCAGTCAAAAGCAATAGGTACTAACTAGGTTCACAAATTATATATATTAACCAAAGGAGATCACAGCTAGGATTTTCACTATTAAAGGGAAACAGCAAAGATGCAGGGGAGAACCATCACCAAACTGTGCTGCTGCTCAATCCCTTTACAGTATGTACACTGGCACGTGCCGTCCCTGCGAGATAAATTAACCCCATTCCACAGATGAGGAGTGAGTCCTCGAAGGCTGCAGTCACCTGCCCAGGCCCCACAGCTGGTCCATGGGGCTGTCTACGGCTCCCTCAGCTTACTCTTCCCTACACCACTGTGCTGCCCTCCACGGTGAGCAATCCCCAGCAAATGAGCCCACCGCAGTTCACGAAACTACGGTACAGGAATCTCAGTCTGATGAACAGTTTTTCAATTCTTCAACATGTACAGCAGAAGCTTGATTTTTTTTTTTTTTAAAAAAGAAATGAAACATCATCAGATACCTCAGTGTCATCTACTTCATTTTCTTCAGAAAGGTTGGGTATTTCAATCAATCCCTTGTGCTTCACACCAGATTCTTTAATTATACCTAAAATGAGCAAAATGTGTTCTTCATTTACAAAGTAACAAACAACTGGTTTATGCAGAACTTCCCTGCATAATTGAATAGCCCACCCTCCTCACAGGGTGCCACCACAGCTCATGACAATGGAGGCGTAAGGCTTCACCACCAAACAGGTACCAAAACTGACCCTGTTCTCCTGGCCCAAATAACAGGTAAGCCACTAGGAGAAGTGGGGCAGGACCTGGCCTGGGAACGGACACACAACACCAGGGGCCGGTGGAAGCACAGGGCTGGAGTGAGTGCTTCTGCAACCAGTGTTTGCTTTTTTCAACCCCCAAAAGTCTACCACATTAAAGCAGGGTAAAGGGCCATCCTGATGAGTCACAAAAGGGATGGAAGGACAGAAAGGAACAATGAGTTCTGATCATGGGAAAGCCTTACGTGGATTCCATGCAGCTGATTTTTCCCCCAACATCAGAGTGCCAACTGCAGTGACAACATGAAGATAGCAACACAGGTTAGTCCGGAATTCAGTCCCCTTACAAAATGACCAGCTGGCAGCTCTCTGTAGACAAGATGCCTCTGTTAAAATCCCAGAACCAGAGGTGAGACTGCAACACCTCCTGGACCAGAGGCAGAGACGGACCGCATGTGAAGGCTATGAGGAGGAGTGACACTGACCGAGTCGCCCCTGCCCCAGGCTGCGCACAGCCACACTGAGAGGGCCCCACAGCGGTTTCTCCAGCGTGAGGAAAAGCACAAGGTGGACATCCAACTCCCCAGAATTGTGCTTCGGACTTGCCTCACAGGAACTACTGGGAATCAGAGAAGTGGGGGCAGGGCTTTCAGCAACCAGCACTCAAACCTTTTTTCAAAATTTTATTTCTCAGTTACAGTTTACATTCAATATTACTTTGTATCAGTTTCAGGTGTACAGCAGAGTGGGCTAGACAATCATGCATGTTACAGCCCTCACTGAAGTCTCAGTGGACAGCACTACTGCTTGCAGCAGTACGTGAGCAGAGTCCAGTGGTAGCCCTGTCTGGCCAGGGACCTCCCTCAGCACTTCTGCTCGGCATCCCCAGCCAACAGGCTAACTGTAGAGCTCATTCTATTGCCCCACACAGGCAGGGCAGCTCAACTGCTGAGCACAGCCTCCAGTTCCCACCGTCCTGGAAGCCTGTCCAGAAGTCCTCTCCAACCGTTGAGCACTGAGCATGGCCTCTGGCCCTGCATAACTAGGGAGCCTGAACAGTGACCCTAAGGAGCCTCGGAGCCCAGCCTAGAGCCTGGCCCAAATGCAAAACACAGCCTGAGGCCTCCCTTAGCCAGAAAGGGAGCCCAGTCAATGACCCCACCCATCTGCTAGAGACACCCCCTGACTGACAGCCCAGACAGCAACCTTGCTAAATGGTGTAGCACAGCCAGTGGCCCACTGGCCTACTGGCCCACCTGTTCACAAAGGCAACCTGCAGACCTGCCGAACTTGAAGGTGATCTGTATGCCCACCTGCTCACTGAGCACAGCCTAACGCTGGGTCCAACCACAAAGCCCACCTGCAACCCTGCCTAACGGAATCCAACCCATGGCACCATCTGGTCAGGGATCATAGCCTGAGACCCCACCCACCCAGGAGCAAATGCAGAGATCAGCCTACAGACTGCCCAATCAGAGTCCAAACAGTGGCAGTGTTCTGCCGGGGAACACAGCCAATGACCCCACCTGACTAGAGGTAACTGCAGAGTCCAGCTAGTGGCCAGTGTGACCACAGAGCACAGCTAGCCCACGGTCAGACTATATACTCAACATACTGAGAGAGAAGACTCTCGGGGCTTCTGGTCATGACAGCAAGGTAGGTACATGTGGTTACTCGCAGCCTCCCACAACCCCATCAAAATTACAATTTCACTACAAAACCACCATCATTCAGAACTACCTGCAATCAATCAAGCTGAACGGAAGTCTTACATCTAAGGCAGGGGTGTCAAACTCATTTTCACTGGAGGCCATATCAGCTTCGTGGTTGCCTTCAAAGGGCCGAATGCAATTTTAGGACTGTGTAAATGTAACTACTCCTTAATTAGGAGCAAGGGGCTTGGCACTTCCGAGGGTAGAAACAAGGTGCCAGGCCAGATAAAACAAGGTGGAAACCCGGATTTGGCCCACGGGCCTTCTGTTTGCCACCTGTGATCTAAGGATATAAAAAAGCTACAGTGAGACTGGTAGGAGGGACAGCAACTTGAAACAGGCTCATCCGACACCCACAGGAGGTAGATAAAAATCAGGTGGCATCCCTCAGCTGTGGTGGTCCCTGCTGAGGAGAGAGTGGTCCAGCCCACAATAGGCCCCCAACCCAGAGTTCAGTGCCAGGAAAAGAAGTCCCCACAACTCTGGCTGCAAAAGCCAGCAGGATTGTAGCTGGGTAAGACAAAGGGGTTCTAGAGTCCCAGGCATTCCACACTCAGACTCACTCAGACTCACGTGCTCTGAGCTGCAGCTCTAGGCAGCAACTCAAAAAGCACCAGAGACATATGGAGAAGACCTGAGTTGCCTGGCATCAGAGAGAACTAGAGGGGCAGCTTTCTCTGACAGAAATTCTGGCAGAAGCCATTGTTCCTTTTCTGAGCCCTCCCCCAACAGTGCCAGCAGGCAGGTGCCGTATATGAGTGTCCCTCACCATGGCTAACCCTGTTTGCCCGCCCTGGTGATTGTCTGAGATCCTGCCCCACCTAACTTTTGCACCCACCCAAGCTGTTTCCAGTGGCTCTTCTATATGAACAGCCAGTCTTGGCTCTTGCTTCACAGCTGATCCCATACAGTGGTTGTAGCCACTCCTTGCAGCCAATTAACCTGGGGGTAAATCTCTCCCATTAACATTCCAACAGCAATCAAGGCTCAATTACAATATGAGGGTGTACACAGCCCACATGGGGTGGGCTGTACCTGCAGTACTCAGCTCAGGTAAATGGGGAGGCTGTGCCACTGGACCCTACAGGACACCTACTATATAAGACCACACCACCAAGCCTGGGAGACACAGCAGTTCTACCTAAAACACAGACACAAACACAGTGAGAATGCCAAAAGAGGACACAAAGAAATGTGGCCCAAATGAACAAACAGAAAAAACTCCAAACAGAAACCTAATCAAAATGGAGACAAGCAATCTACTAGATGTAGAGTTAAAACACTGGTTATAGGATAGTCAAAGAACACAGGGAAAGAACAGATAAACTTAGTAAGTTAAGAAATTAAAAACATAAAAATGAAACTAAAAAACATAAAAAAGAACCAGTCAGAACTGAAGAATAAATGAAAGATATAGGCCCTGGCCAGGTAGCTCAGTTGGCTAGAGTGTTGTCCCGATATACCAAGGTTGCTGGTTCAATCCCCAGTCAGGCCGCATACAAGAACCAACCAATAAATGCATAAGTAAGTGGAGCAACAAATCAATGTTTCTCTCTCTCTCCCTCCCTTCATCTCTCTCTGTCTAAAATCAATAAGTAAAACAAATTTTTTTAAAGACTACATTACCAGGAATCAACAGTGGAACAGATGAAGCAGAAGACCAAACCAGAGACTTGGAAGATACGGAAGAAAAAAACACCCAATCAGAACAGCACAAAGAAAACAGAATCCAACAAAATGATGCCACTGTAAGGAGCCTCTGTGACAACTTCAAGCAGACCAACACTTGCATCAAGGGAGTGCCAGAAGAGTGAAAGCAAGGAACTAAAAACTTATGTGAAAAAAAAATGGAGAACTTCCATAACCTGGTGAAGAAACAGACCTATAAATCTAGGAAGCACAGAGAGTCCCAAATAAGACATATCATCATTAAAATGCCAAAGGTTAAAGACAAAGAGAGAATCTTAAAAGCAACAAGAGAAAAGAAGTTAGTTACCTACAGGGGAATTCCCAAGTCTGTCAGCTGATTTCTCAAAAGAAACTTGTCAGGCTAGAAGGGACTAGGAAGAAATATTCGAAGTCATGAAAAGCAGGGATCTATAAACAAGACGGCTGTATCCAGCAAAGCTATCATTTAGAATTGAAGGGGAGATATAAAGAACTTCCCAGACAAGAAAAATCTAAAGGAGTTCATCACCTCCACACCATTATTATATGAAATGTTAAAGGGATTTATTTAAGAAACAGAAGCTCACAACTATGAACAAGAAAATGGCAATAAATACATATCTATCAACAATTAAATCTAAAACACAAACTAAGCAAAGAAGAACAAAGAATCATGGATACAGAGAATGTTTTGATGGTTTCCAGATGGGAGGGGGGTGTGGGAGAATGGGTGAAGAGGTGAGGGGAGTAAGAAGTACAAATAGGCAGTTACAGAACAGCCATGGGTATGTAAAGTCCAGTATAGAAAATGAAGCAGCCAAAGAACTTGTATGCATGACCCTCGGACATGAACAATGGTGGGGGGATTGCCTGAGGAACTGGGGGTGCTGGGTGTAGGGGGTGAAAGGGGAAAAATCAGGACAACTGTAATAGCATAATCAATAAAATATAATTTAAAAAGAGAGAGAGAGGAGGAGGAGAAGGAAGGAAGGAAGGAAGGAAGGAAGGAAGGAAGGAAGGAAGGAAGGAAGGAAGGAAGGAAGGAAAGGGAAGGCTGTCAAGCAAGAACACTGTACCCAGCAAAGCTGTCCTTCAGAAATTAAAGAGAAATAAAGTCTTTCTTAAACAAACAGAAGCTCAAAATATTCAGCATCACTGAACCTGCCTATAAGAACTGCTAAGGAGCACTGTTCAAACTAAAATAAAAAGATGCTAATTAGCATCATAAAAACATACAAATGTATAATATTCACTACTAATGATAAATATATAGTCAAACTCAGATTATCTAATATTGCAATGGTAGTATATAATGCACTTAAAACTCTACTTTAAAAGTTAAAAAAAAACATTAAAAATAACTATAACTTATAAACATGGTAGCCTATGGTGTTTTTCTATTACTTTAAGAAAAACTTGAAGTAAATTGTAACATCCACTATATCAGT